TTTCAGAGCTAGTTCTGGGAGTCTGGAAGTTTTCGGTGCTTCCAAAGTGATGTGATCTGGGGAGAGGTATAGTACGTCACTGCTTTCCTGGTCTTTGCTCTGATACTTACCATGGAAGAGTCCCTGATCCCTTTGTATTGCAATTGATACTATTCCTCTGGGCTCTTGCTCCTTTGGGACCAGAAGTGATGCTGCTCCTCAGGGCCCTACCTCCCTTGGGATGGGAAATGATATTGTTCCTCAAGCCCTTTGTTCTTTTTGGACAGGAAGTGATACTGCTCTTCAGCGCCCCTTATGCCTTGCAAGTGAAGGTGATACTGCTCCTTAGGTCCCTCCTCCTTCTTGACTGAAAGTGCTCCCCTCTTCCCTTAAACTGTGAGCCAGAAGTAGATATAGGTAGTGGAATTGCTAAGTAGTGTTTGGTCCCATGTCTAGTGCTAGCACAAGGGTCCCCTGTTGTATCTTTCTTAACAGTTGCCAGGCCTCTTTACTGTCTCTAGCTTTAGAGCTTCTGAAGCTGCTGCTGCTTCTGTCACCACCAGCTAGTTAAACCATTGGTGTTTCAATCATGTGGGCTTGGGCCAGCCTTCACCACTGTGTCACAGATTTCTCCTTCCAACCTCCTAAGTTGTCTTGGACTTGAAAAATGTCTCACCCTGACCTTTTGTTGACTCTGCCACTCCAGATTTTGATTCAAGGCATTATTTTAGAGTTGTTTGGAGGGGAATGTTGGGAGAGGTCAGTTGAGTGCTTCTTTTACTCCACCATCTTGCTTCTGCACATCACTTACTGTACAGAAGAATTGTTTTCAATAGGATCTTTTCAAATGCATTTAAGGTTTTTTGTTATTCTTTGCTTTTAAAAATATTTTTGTTTGTTTTTTACTAATCATTAGCTACTTGAGGATAATGAAACAAAGAGACTTAAAGCTGAAGCATGAGGAATGGCTAATCAGAAATGAAGATAAAGCATCCTTGAAATTAAAATCTGTGACTGTAGGAACTTTTTCATTTATACGTTTTTGGTGTAGATCTGGTATCATTTGTATGGGGCATGTCCATTTTAGAAACTTCTTCCACTGATGCGTATGGGTAACTTATAGGCTTAGAGTAGTATACTTCAAAATGTGGGCCATGGCATGATCCCAAGCACTGCCTGACAACTACTTAGAGGATGGCAAGATAGATTGTATCTCAACCTCCCAGTGATAGTCAGAGAGGGGGCTTGTCTTCAGTGCATTCACACCTACCCTTCTCTCCAAATGTTCCCCAGTTTCATCCTTGCTGTCTGTTATGCAAGCTATCAGCCTCTCTCCTTTTGAGTGAAGTATCGAACCCTCAGGCCAGCTGCAACTTAACCACCACTGGATACCCACAGCAGTAGCTGTGTATGTGCCATTGTGAAATCATCCCCACCTCCATACTCACCCCTTCTACCCCAAATTACCTAATGAGTGCATCAGACACTTCTCAGAGAATGAGTTGAGTGCTCCAAGACAATGACTTGTGAGTGACAACCCTCTCATCCCCTTTTCACTTTGGGTGTATCAGAATACATCATTTGGCATGAGCAAGCATGGATGAATTATAATCAGCATCTTTTCCTCACAAATGTATACATCTCATCCTGTTTAAATCTCTGTGTGTATATATAATTTACAAATAAGGAAATGTACACATATTGGGGGTACATACTCAAAAATTTTTATTTACATGTTTATATGATCAAAAGAATTTGGAGATCACTGTCTCAGAGAGTTATGTGCTGGGCACTGAGATGTTAAGCAACATGCTCTCATGTCATATAGTGACTTGAGAATATAGGCGTGTGTACATTCTCTCCTGCCCAGCATTGTGGGGCACACGTTTTCTATAACACTTTGGTCCCTAGGGAGGGTTGGCTCAGACTTAATATAGTCTCTCCATAGCATTGATATCACCAAGTTCACATTCAAAGCTGTCGTCATTGCTGCATGGACCCTTATCTTAGCTACTACTGACCTGGGTCCTAGAACATTATTCCTTACACCTCAGGTTACAAAGCTAGCCAAAAACTCTATCACAGGCTTCATTCCTGGACTTCCTGATGGCCTGTTCTCCTGACTTTTAGAACTCACAAGGTCATAGCCTCCAGACTCTACCTAAAACAAAAGAACTTAAATACTGAACAAAGAGAAATTCATATTCCTGTGAGGCTTGGAACAACTATAGTTATTGCATCTGACTCCTGGAGCACATCTATAACCCTATAGTGAGGAATGGGGTGGCTCTAACAAATTTCTGGAAACATGGTGTCTAAGAGACCAAGTTTCATCAAGTTCTACAAGTAGCAGATACAGGCTACAAGCCAAGGGGACAGAATTCTGGTCTTGTATCAGTCCTTTCAGACTTTCACAGATAATGATCAGTTTTCAGTAAGTTAGGCATTTTTATACATATCTTGATGATACTTGAGTGAATTAACATTTATTTTTTTCTCAAAGCTATATTGTGTTGTTATAAGTAGAAATGAGGGATGAATATTTTGTGTTGGTAACAATATAAAACTTAGCTAAATTTAACTAATTAAAGTAACCTGTATTGTCATATGCATTTATTTTTAATGCTTTTCTAACAAACTTTTCCAGAGAGAACCCAGGAAACTCATCCCTCTCTACTGGATTGAATATTTATCTAACTGAACATTACCTCTCACCAGCATAGACTTCCTTCTACCTTCTTTGACATTTTTCTTTGTAATTCTTTCATGGAAAAAATGGCAGCATGCTCATTGCACATTAAAAAGTGAATATCCTAAAGTCCTTGTATCAGAAACTATTGTCATTATACCTCACCTAAAATAATGCAGCCAGGCATTACTCCTCATATTTAGATTTAGAGCTGAAAGGGACTGTGTAGACCATTGAGTCCTACCTCTTCCTTTTAAAAATGAGTAAACTGAGCCATAGAGAGGATTTGTCCAAGGTCTTACAAGTAGTAAGTGTCTGAGAGGATTTCAGCCCAAGTCTGTCTGACTCTCAGTCCAGCACCCTATTCACTATGCCATGCTGCCTTTCATTGAGAAAATCAGGTATGTAGAAGTTAGGCAAAATTCATTCCAGGCATGTTGCAGTGATGTGGGATGGTGTTAGAGATATAAACAGATTTTTTTTTGCCTGTCTTCTCTCATTAATGATCACATTGTGACTGTAACCAGTGCATCATTGTAAGCCAATCCATCATGAAAAATAAATAATTCACCTTGTTAACATTCCCTAAATCTTGCATTAATAAAACCAGAGTGGACCTCTGAACACGTGAGAGATGTCTTTTTACATACCCTGGTGATGGATGACACATCTTGAGATCCTGGAAATGAAGTAGTTCAGGTCATTTAAAGTGTCCCACACTTGTTATTGATTTAATTTATTTTAAAAGGTGAGGGTAGAGATAAGAATGTTTATGCTCCCACCACCCTCAAAAATAAAATTATTCTGCAAGGTAATTAAATGAATACAGATTTCTTGAATGGATGATTTTGTGATTCTACCACATTATGTTAGCTTATTCAAGTTGGTGTTTTATGATGTACTTAAATGGCTATCAAAAAATAAAAATAATAAACCTGAATCGCTGCAACTTGTCACAAATAATACAACCCTTTGAACTGAATGCAAACAGCAGATGATAATATTTTTTCAAGGATGGTCTAAGAAGTTTAGCTGTTCAAGATGTAAATTCTGGTGACACTAAATTCTGTGAAGGTTCAATTTGTATATTCTTTCTGTGTTTTTTTAAAAGTTAAGTAAACTCCATATTGTATTGCATATTTCCATTGACTTTCACCATAACTTTAGAGGCATGTGCCTACTCTAAATATCCATGCTACAGTATATGATAACAGTCACACTTAAACATTCAGACATTCATTAGCTATTTATTTTATTCAAGGCACTTTTCTAGGTATTTTCATTTCATGAATCATTTTGCCTTTGTCATTGTGCACCTAACATAATGCCTAGCACATAGTAAATCTTTAATAATTATTTGGCAAAAGGATATCTGATAAATTCCAATTAGAGATTGTGTGGAGAAATTAAACGTATAACTGCACAATGACAAAGGCAGTGTGCTTTAATGACTGAACAAATTGATAACTAAGAGATTCAGACTGATTTGCCTGACAAAAACATTTCCAGGGTTGACTAAATTTATAATAGTCTCCCATGATCATTGTATGGAGTGTTTGTTCAAATGGAGGCATCAGTTATGCAAATCCAGTTACCTGATCAAATACATATACTTTTTTCTGTGTTAAGTTTAGTTTTGTCTAATAGTACTGCTAGTTTTTTGGGGGGAGGGGGTTGGGGGGGTTGTGTGGGCAGTGGGGTTAAGTGACTTGCCCAGGGTCACACAGCTAGTAAGTGTTATGTGTCTGAGGCCATGTTTGAACTCAGGTCCTCCAGACTCTAGGGCCAGTGCTCTATCCACTGTGCCACCTAGCTGCCCCATGTATTGCTAGTTTTTAAGTCTGAAGGGGTTTCTGAAATATCTCTTGATATTCATGTAAAAGGAGCATCTGTGAATCATTGGGATTCCTGGTGGTTGAGGTATGCAGGAGCAGTTTAAATTGAATTTGCAAGCAATAATGTTTGTGAATCTGAAAATGGTGAGTAGATAGAAACTTTTGTGAACTATATAGTCTTTTAAGAATATTTCCTATAGGGGCAGCTAGGTGGCGCAGTGCATAGAGCTCTGGCCTTCAAGTCAGAAGGACCTGAGTTCGAATCCAGCTCAGACTCATAACACTTACTATCTCTGTGACCCTGGGCAAGTCACTTAACTGCAATTGCCTCATCAAAAAAAAAAACAAAAAAAAGAAAAAAGAAAAGAATATTTCCTATGGCTGATATTTGAAATGGCCTATGGTGTTTTTCTTTCTCTCTCTCTCTCTTTTTTAATGGCTTATGGTTTCTAATTCTTACTTCTGTCCCTAATTCTAACTATATTCTGCTTGCACAGGCTGTCATTTTGGAAAATGAGGAGCTTCCGAAATTATTTCTTGATTTTCTAAATGTACGGCATTTACCCTCTCTACCAAAGACAGAAAGTTGTGGGTAAGATTTGTCTTTAATATATTAAATGTGTTTTTGAAGTGTATTTACAGTCATGGGATTTGGCAAAATAGTATAATTAAGAAAATAATTTGAAACTACAGAATTTTCCAAATTAGACATTTAGGTTCATTTTATAGTGTGATGTAGAGATGTGTGTAGTTAAATTTGATTTTCCCAGAAGTTCATTTTAGAGTTTCCCTTTTGCCTCTGCCTAGACACAGAAGGGGAAAGGGCTTCCTTTTTCCCCTATGTTATCATCCTATCTTCTTTTACTCCTAGTTTTTTACAGAATTCAGTTTTATTTCCAGTTGCATCTAGGTAGTATGTTGACTTTTACCTGAAGTGGGCTGGCCTCTTGCTGCATAATAGTAACAGTCAGGACAGCTGACTTTGTATAGTTTTCATGAGTAGAGCAAAAACTCGTGAATATCACAGTAAGGATCAACTCTGTTAGTAACTTAAACTCTCTAGCCCTGAATTTCCTCATCTGTAAAGTGAGAGAGGTAGACTAAATGACCTCTAATGTCTCAGCACTAACTCATGTGAAATTTATGAGCACACCTATTCTTTCACTTGTATTCATTTGGGGTTAAATAGTAGCCCAGTACCCATTCAGGATGTAGAGGAAAGAACAGTTCTTTTGTCCCCTACATGTAATTAAGGGTACTCCTCAAAGGCCTCTTAGAGATAGCCACTAAGTCATACTTATATTTGAGGAAGAATCTGAGCTATTTCAAGGTAATTCATTCTTCTACAAACAAGGAAATTTTAACATGTTAATTAATTGAGCTAATGTCTTTACTTGAAAGATCAGCTAGATGGTTCGGTGGATAGCACCGGGCCTGGAGAATAAGACCTCAGTTCAAATCTAGCCTCAGATACTGACTAGCTGTGCATCCCTGAGCAAGTCACTTAACCTCTGTTTGCCTTAATCCACTAGAGAAGATGGCAAACCACTCCAGTATCTTTGCCAAGAAAACCCCATAGACAGTATGGTCCATGGGATCACAAAGAGTCTTGGACACAGCTGAACAACAAAATTTACTTAAGCTTAGTTATTAAGGCCCCTTAATTACCTCTTTTCTTCTATGAAAATATAAAGAGAGAAAGATTGAGATCCTAAATCTTAGATGCCAGGTGACTGGATGGTTAATATCATGAGTAGTTCCAATGAGATCATATTTGAAACAACCCACATACTTCATAGCTTTGTGACCTTGGGCAAATCACTTAACCTGTCTGGTCCTTAGTTTCCTCATCTCTAAATTGAAGGATTTTGATTTGATGACTTTTCAGATTCCTTTGGACTCTGTCTATGGTCCTATGAGTCTCATTGATTATCTTGATATAACCATTCTTCAACAAGTGACCTTCCTGCCCATATAGCTATACTCCCTAGGGTGACCCAGCTATACCTGTCAGTCATCATCAGGCCTAAACCATCATTTATAAAGAAAGCCAATTGTCAAAGTCTCTGTAAGTCAAAGGAGGGCAGACAGGTTTGCTTTGATTAATCCATACCCAATGGATAACTGCTCAGCTCATTATAACAGGAATTTTGTTAAATCAAAATGATCTCCCTGAACCTCTCCAGTAATCAACAGAAGGAACACTAAATAAATTACATATTTACTCAGAGGCTTTCACAACTTTGTGCCTTTGTTCGTATACCTCAGAACCAGTACCTAGATAATTTTCTTCAAGAGTCATGTTGTGTACAAGAATTTATTGGGAAGTTAAAATCTGTGTGTTAATATATCTTCATTAAGAGTTGATAGATCATTGTATCTCCAAAACTTTACAGAGAGAATGTTTTGAAATCATTTGTTCTTGATCTAGAGCCATAATTTGTAACAAAATTTGGAGTATTTCCAAGTAATTCTGTTAGGCAAAAATGAAATTCAAGAAAACTCCATTGTTTAGGGTTCAGCTGTGTATTGAAAGTATATACTTCTTTGATAAATTCATTATTCTACTTAAGGGATCTCTTATTTCAGTGCTCTACAATTGCCTACTGTTATTCTTTAATTTATGGACAATGATCTGTTCTTCTTCATGCTTTTATTTTTATAGCTCTTTTGAGGAAACAGAATCTGAAGAGTCTAGGTGAGAGCTAATCAAGTATTATGTAAATTCATAGAAGTACTGTTATTTACTTAATATTTTCAATGTTAATGACTTACTTCAGTAGCCTGATACTTGGTGGTATTAGCATACTGTTGGTCCCTGTAATAAAAACACTGAAATAATTAGTTATATGTGAAAGAATATAGATTCCTACATCATTACATGCAGCTGACAAAAATACTGGTTTGCCAATTAGTTATGCTGCAACAGAGACAGGTTTGTGGTGTTTTGCTTTGTTTTTAAACTTTTTAATACTTGTTTATAGTAAAAATTGTATGTTTGTTTCAAACTGCATAGGCATGGCAATGTTAGTTTGAGCTTTCTAAAATTAAACTTGTTACATAGTTGAAGATATGTCTGTCTTTGTTAAATATAATATATATATATGTGTATATATAAAAATACCCTTCTTGACATCATTGCGTAGCAGTTTGATCACCTCAAAGCTAGTTTGTAGTATTTTCTGTTTACTCTCCCTTGATGCTGACATTCCTGTTCTTGACCTTTCCAGCAAACTGTCCCACCAGCCAGTGCTGCTGTTCCTAAGGGATCCATATGTCTTGCCTACAGCCAACGGTAATCAAACCTGTCATGTGTTAACAGCTCTTTACTGATCTGACCATGCACCACATAAACCATGTTTTTAATACAGGACTTACAGAATGACATTGGTCCAGAGCCTAATAATCTGCCAATAAAGTAGTGCTTTTTGTATAACAGACATTTTGAATGCAAATTAGAGCAGGTCTTTCATTTTTTTCCCTCTAACAATATTGTGAAATACAACAATTAACTGAAAATAATTATGTTATTGTTATTGTTTTACCTGTGGTTGACTATGGTTAATTTCATTTTCAGATTTGAAATAAAAAGGTATAGTTATTTTAAGTGCATTGCTCGAAAAGACTAATCTCTATATGCAAATGTATCCTGATTTCCATTTAGATAATACTTTTGTGGTATTGGTAGCGTTTACAGTTATTTTTAGAAGAATTCCCTTTTAAATAAAATTCATTAGATTAATCACAAACTACCACCAATTTCAAGAGGATTGGTCAGAAGAAATAATTGCCTTCATTCATCCCTCTGTGTCAGGAATTGTTTAGATTCCCAAACTGTCCACTTAAAATGCTTTAATAATAATAATATAGCACCTTATAGTTTACAAAGCTCTTTCATATTCGTTGTCTTGTTTGACCTCCACAACAAACCTGTGAGTAATACATGTATTATTATTGTCATTTTATAGATGAGAAATTAGAAGTGCTGAGAGATTTCTTGGCTTGGCCCTAGTTGCACATGACAGTTAAATGACAGAACTAGAGCTAGAGTCTCCTGAGTACTAATCCAGGGTTTGGGGTAGTATAAAAATGTCCTTTGCATAGTTAGGTAGCACAGTGTATAGAGCACTGCACTTGTAGTTAGGTAGACCTGAGTTTGGATGCAACTTCAGACAGATACTGGCTGTGTGCCCCCAAGCAAATCAGTTAACCTCTCTTAGCCTCTGTTTCTTCATCTATAAAATGGGAATAATAATAGCACCTACTTCACAGATCTGTTATAAGGATCAAATGAGGTAACACACACCCATTTTTGCTAACTTTAAGACATATGTATGTATGTATATGTGTGTATGGTACATGTATTTTATATGTATGTGTGTATACATATGTATGTGTAATATAAATACTAGCTAGTATTATTTGATATAATCTCTATCTAGCAGGTGGCCAACTAGAAAGAATTGTTGCTACCTTGCCTTTAACAGTATCTCTATCTACATTCCAACTGTGTTTAGGTCTAGATGTTAACAATGTTCAGACTAAAAGCCCTGTAACACTGTGGAGAATAAAAAGATAACTGTGTACTAGAGTAGTCTAGTTTCTTGAGTGAGGTTAGACTTGCATTGGACTTTGAAGAAAGCGTAAGACTCAGATTGGCAGAGCGGCATCATAAAGACATTCCCGAAAGAGGGAACAAGGTGGCATAAAGGCAAAAAAGGCAGGAATGAGTATGGGGTATTAATAAGCCTGTTAGCAAGTGCTTGCCTTGTTCATGTTGAAGAATAGTGGAAAATGAAGTGGAATGAGTAATGTTGGACTAGATGATGGAGGGCCTCAAAAACAGAAAATTTAACTACCACAGATTTATTCATATAGTTTTATTCAACAATACTATCATTTGAAATCTTGGTCTTAAAAATATATTGTTACTGATGGATATTCCAACATGTCCAGCCAGCATCATTAACCTTACAGAAGTATAAGCAGGAAAAAATGGCCATTCAGATCTTCAGCACTTAAAGTAAAACTTTTCTGTGTCATAATTTAATGTTCAGCTGTACTTTCACAAAATCTGTTTTTCACAATCTTGCCAGAAGAAAAGGAATGAAGAACTAGCTCTTGACCATACTAACCCTTAAATACCAATGAAATACACAACAAAAACAATAACTAGAATTTACATGATGCTTTCAAATTTGCAAAGTACTTTACAAATATTATCTCATTTTACCTTCACAACAGCCTGAGAGGTAGGTGCTATTATTATCCTCACTTTACAGTTGAAGAAACTGAGGATGACAGGTTAAGTGACTTGCCGAGGGTCACACAGCTAGTACTGCCTTAGGCAGGTTTTGAACTCAGATCCGTTTAACTCCAAATCCACTATCTAAATCCAAATATACTATGCCACCTACATTCCAACAACTATACATTATTGTCTTGTCAGGAGAATATTCCCTCTGGATTAAAAACATTCAAGTCATATCTTTTTGGTATATGCTTTGATTTTTTTCTAGGTATTTTAAAACCTTTGAAGCACCAATTTAGGTCAAACATCTCTTATTTTAGTACAGAATCTCTTCTTTTGCAAAGTGCAATAATGATGCTGAAATACTTATCTATAAAAAGTGGTTTTTAGAACTCATTTGTAGAGTTTAGCACTTAAATATTAAAGCACTCCTAAAAATAATTTTCACTAATTGTTAAAGGAAAAAAGAATTTTGAAGATTAGGTCTATATAAAAAAATTATTGAACTGTATAAAACTTTGATAACTATAGTATGTCTGTAAACAGATGTTCTGATGATATACATTTTCGGTAAACTTTATAATTTAATAAACCATTAGCTCAGATTGTTACCGATTCAGATATATATGGATATGTGTCACACTCACACACACACATACACACCCCCATACCCCATGGTGCAGAAAGATAGGCATAAAACTAAAAGTTTGTCTGATTTTGTTGTCCCACCTTTCCTGTGTGAAAGAATGCTGATGTGAATCAGAACTCTGTGACTGACAAATACCACCAATACTACTAAGTCAGCCCCTTAAAGTTAGAATTTTTTTCTTAATGCCTTTATGCATACTGAATAGATTGACCAGATCAGAACTGAAAAATCTGCAGTTCAGGGTTGTGATTAATCCAGTTATCCTATGTAGGTGGAAAGCAAAAAATAATTTTAAGCTACCCATCAGGAATTGATTTCCAGATATTATCATGCTTCTTCAGTTAGCGTGAGGCTTAATTTCTTTACTGTGAATGACATATTTTTTTGAGAGCAACAGAGTACAAGAATGAGAGGTCAGAAAGACCTGGATCCACATCTGACTATTGTGACTATAGGCGGGTCATGTCACCTTCCTAAGCCCCAGTTTCCTTATGTGAAATGGGGGTTATGATACCTGTATCACCTACATCACAGTCTCCTTCGGAGTACCATGTGTATGAATGGATTTAAAATGAACACTTGAGTATTAATAGCTCAGTTTCCTTGTTCACATAATCCATTCATATTCTGCCTGCTCTGGGAAGCAGCATGTAGGAAAAGGCTGTAGCAGTGAGTTTCCTTTGTATCTGCTCTGGAAATGTAGCTGATTTTTCAAGTATGACAGGTTGACTTTTTTAGGAAATTTGCCCTTTTGAGTTAGGAAGACAGGATAGCATCTTATTGCTCTAAAGAAGCCTATTTGATAGCACCAGCATCCTCAAAATGACTTGGACTAAATGCTGCTGTAAACCACAATGGAAAACCTGCAGTGAAGTATTCCCAGTAGAAATCTTGGAATTCTTTCAAGTATATTGAGATTTTGTTAGAAATTGAATTGCCAGTGTAATCCATCTTCCTTGTGAGAAAAGATTCAGATAAAGAGCTGGAGCCCAGCAGCATTAAGTGTTAGAACATCCCTTAAATCAATAAGCTACAAATCTGGTGGCGCATTCATGTAGTGCCTAGTGCTGAACTAAAGTGGCTTTAGTGCTGAAACAGCATTACTAATAGCTCATCCTGAACATGGATAAACAGGAGATGGATGCCATTTCTCAAATTATAGTGAGTCTTACCTTGTTTGGTTTTTTCAAAAAAAATGTTGTATTGATGCACATAAGAAATAAGTTTTTTTTCTTTTGTTTTTCAGATGATTTTCCAAATGTAGTTATTGAAGGAGTTCTCCATGGGATATTTTACCCTCATCTACAGCCCAGGTAGAAATCCTGTGTGGCTAAAGAAGCTGGAACAAGTTTCAAAGTCTTAGTCAAGGAAATCGATTATCTCCCAAATTACCTAAACTCCGTGACATAATAGCTATAGTCATTGCTAAAATTCATAGTCCCAGCTACATTCAGGGAAGTATATGTTTCCTTTAACATTGTGCTTTTTAAAAATAGAAACTGAACTTGGGGTTTAGTTAAGCAAAGGCAGAATTTTTAAGAAATAGGATAAAGCAGCCTGCCTAGAAACACATAGAAAGGAGGCCTATAGAGAAGGTTCTTATGATTGTTGCCTCCTTAAAAATTCTTGTCTGCATCAGCAACACTTAAGTTAAATGAGGGTCATATACTGAAGACTGAGACACACTGAGACTGACAGTAACTTTGCAAACTTTGTTTAGTTTGGGTTTTTCAGTACACTAATCTTATTACCTTGGGATTTTCCCTGCTGGCTAAAAGTGTATACTGAAGAGCCGGCACCAAGAAAGGTTATCACAGAAACATTGTGACAAATAAATATGAGAAATGGGTTAAACTGGAAATTGAGAGTAACTTGAAAGTATTCGCATATTTGTATTGACTCTTCCCTTCCCCTCCGCTTCCCAACCCCACCCCCAACATATCCAATTTATATTTGATTGGGGAATAGTAAAGGCATATATGCTTGCCATCAATACTTAGGTATTTCACTTGAAAACTAAATAGCAACTCCATTTTAAGGTGGTTGGTTTTAGTAAGCTCCTGGGTGGCAATTTAAGGTGGTTGGTTTTAGTAAGCTCCTGGGTGGCAATGTATGCAGAAACAAATTTAGAATTCTAACTAATGAACTCCGCTACTGCTAATGATAGTCTAATTGCATAAACTCAAGGCCTTCCTGCATTTTTAAGATAAATTATACAAAGGGCATTTTATGCTGCTTCATGGTGAAGACAATTAGTATTGCCAAGTAATAAAATAGCATTCACTTAGAGTAACAGGGCTTTTCTAATGTTGGAGATACACTAAAATAGTTTGTATATTACTGAATACTGGGCTGTAAAATAAACTTAAGATACAAGAAAATATTTGAGTTGATCTTTTCTGCTTGAAATATGAATAGTATTTTATAAATATATTTCCATTTGTACAAAGTAAGAGTCAAGTTACATTATTGTGTGTGAGGGACAGAATAGACGCTCAGAAAATAGTGATCGACAATGCAGTGACAGATTTACAGATAAAGTCCCAAGAACCTGTGGCAGCACTGGGGCCAAGCAGTCTTTTTTATAAAATTAAACTTAAATGTATACTTATAGATTTTATTTATTACTATAATTGCAGTTAGCCTAAGTTAATTATACTCTAGATTTACATTAAAATTACAGAAATGTCTGTAAAATGCCCTAGATTTTAGAATCTCCTACTACTTCTGGGTTTCATTTGGAAACTATGACAAAGACCATCATGAAACGGGATATATTTTGAAGTAATGACAGAGGTAATAAAAACTGATAGAGAAAAAGAGAGAAAGAAAAAAGGTAAGATAGCAATAATAAGAGAAGAAGGAAACTAGGAGAGAAGAGATAATTTCATGATACCTTTCTACACTAGCTCTGAGAAGCTGTGATATCTTCCATATACCCCTAGCATCCATACTGTGACCACCACTAAGCAACATACCTCTTCTAGCAGCATTCTTTTGTGGGCTTATGATCTTTTTCTTGAGTTTCTCATCTGTTTCCTTTCTGTCAAGGTGAACTATGGTATATTCACATATCAAAATGACTTCTGTTACTTTTTCACCCACTGTTCTCTACCATGCTTCTTCCCCTCAGGTTCCTGCATTTCCTCACATGAGTGTATCTTCTGAATAGATGATGCTACTACTTCACATCTTGTTCCTTTTATCTATCCTCTTTTCTTTCGAGTAAAGTATACCCATCTAGAGCCATATTACAGGCATTAGTTTCATCCCACAAAGTCTCAGTGATAACCTGTGAAGTCAAATTTGCCTCCTTGTGTTAGAAGCTCTGGTTCTTTTTACATGTTCCCTACACTATATACATTTGTATAGAAATATTTGAGGTCATGGGTTTTACTTCTCTAGTAGATTGTAACCTCAGTCATCCCCTCTGACATCTTTAGCCTCTCCCTTTCTACTGGTTCCTTCCTTCAAACATGTCCACATCTCCCTCATCCTGAAAAATATTTCACTGGACCCTCAAGCTGTCTTCTCCACTTTTCAGCCAAACTCCTTGAAATAGCTGTCTGCGCTTGTTGCCTCCACTTCCTCCCCTCGCATTCATTCTTCAACACTATACATTCTGACTTCCAGCCTCCTCACTCAATTGAAACTACTTACTCCAAAGTTACCAATAATCTCTTAATCACAAAATCCAGTCTCCTGTATTTTACACTGTTGACCACCCTCCCTTCCTGGATACTATCCCCTGTCTGAGCTCTCATCATACTACTCTGACCTGGTTCTCCTCTTACCTGTCTGATCACACCTCCTCAGTCTTTGCTGACTTATCATCCATATCATGCCTCCTAACAATGAACATTCCCCGAGTTTCTGTCCTATGCCCTCTTCCAAATCTACACTCTCATTCAGTAACCTCATCAGCTCCTATCTGGTTAATTATCATCTCTCTTTAGGTGACTCAGATCAATATATCCATTCCCAGTGCCTAATATTTAGTTCCACATCACCAATCGCCTCTTGGATATTTCAAAATAGATGTCACAGAGACATCTTGCATCTAATAGGTCCAAAACAGAACTTGTTATTGTTCCCAAAAAAACCCTTATTTATTTTAGACTTCCATATTTCTTTCAAAAGCACCAATATCCTTTTACTCTCCCAACTTCATAACCTCAGCATTAACCTCTACTTTTCACTCCCCTCATCCCACATATCTAATCACTTGTCAAACCTTGCTATTTATAGTGCTGCATCCCTGCCATATGAATCCTCTCCACTCACACAGGTACCACCTTCATTTAGATCCTCATCACCTCTTGCCTAGATTACTGCAGCAACCTCTATTGGTCTCCTGCTACTCTCCACTCCATTCTACATATTGCTGCCAATGTAATTTTTCCTTAAATACAAATATAACCATGCTATTTCTTTATGTAGTCAACTCCAATGACTTCCTATTACCTGTAAGATAAACTATAACCTCTGTTTAGCTTCACAACTTGGCCCCAGCCTCAAGTGACATTGTGATATAGCCAGACTCTCTCCTCTGTTCCTCACACACCATACTGGCCAACCCCATATCTCGAATGTACCATCTATATATGCTACTTTTCTTTCGAGACTATTCTACATGAAGCCTTTCTTACCTCTCCCCCCATCCCAACTGCTAGTGCCATCCCTCCCAAGCTGCCTTATATTTACATACTTATTTATGTACTTGTCTCCTCCATTGGAATGTCTGCTTTCTAGTAGATATTGTTTCATTTTTGTGTTTGCATCCCTGTCCCTTAGCTCAGTACCTGGCAAAGAGTAAGTGCTTGATTAATGTTTGTTGATTAATTGACTCACTACAGGCTCCTTTCTTGGATTTTGCCTCTCATAAACTTCTGGGTATCTAAATCATTTTTCTTCCTTCATTATAGCTGTTCACTGTTATATCTCTCTTGGTAGATATAAATAGAAAGTTTTCTCCTTCCCCCAGTCTCTTTGCCAAAAAAAACCCAAATGGGGTCACAAAGAGTCAGACATGACGGAAACAACTGGAGACCAGTGAGAGGATCATTGGGAAAAGTAGTTTCAGTTAAGTTATGAGATAAAAAACCAGATTGTAAAGATTTGTCACAAGTGGGAGGTCAGAAAAAACACCAACAAGTTTAATTAGCTTTTTTCTAGTTTGCCTGTGGAAAGAGAGATTTAGGTTGATAGTTTAAAGGTAGGTTATGTTGAAGTTTTGTTCTTGTTTTTTACGCATGGGTGATTTGGAAGTGTTTGTAAACTATAGGGAAGGAGTGAGTAGATTGAGAGATAATATTAGTGGAGAGTGGGGAAGATTGAAAGGTCAAGATAGCAGAAGAGACATGAGGGGATGGGATATAAAGCACAAGTAAAGGGCTTGGCAATGAAAACTACTTCTTCCTCCAGGACTAGAGCAAAGAAGAAAAGAATGGGGGATGTTGTTGAGAGGATTTGATGTGTAGAATGGGGATAAGTGAGAACTCTAGACAGTCAGTTTTTTTTGTTTTGTTCTCTGTTAAGTATGTAGCAATACCTTTTGTGAGAGGGAGGGCTGTTAGAGGTGACTTGAGAGAAGGGAAGATTTGGAACATGTGCTGGAGAGTGGAATAGAGAATCGATTAGGGAAGAATAAGAAAACAGGCATGCTACCATAAAGGACTTATTTGAGATTATGTAACACATTTTTATCAGATTTAATCTAATTATGATTTAAACCATTGGCATTTAGCACATGAAGTAGATGGTGGATTTGTTTTACTTACCTTTTTTATCTCCTTCACCTTGACAGCTGTATTTTTACTTTTCATTTTCCTTTAATAATTTTCTTCAGGTCCCCACTCCTTAATTCTTTTCTTTCTTCAGATTAAGAGTTCCTTCAACTCAAGTTGTTCTTCATTGTGTCCTCAAGTTTTCTGAAATTTCTTCTCTCCCATACTTAGCCTCAGTTCTTCCTCACATATCCAAACCCCTCCAAATTCCCTTCCTGTTTCTTTTTTTTTCTAATTCAGCTCAAGTTCTTATCTCAATTCCTGCTTCTTTTCCTGTAACTTTTTGAAATCTGATGCTGTGGATTGATCTTCTCCAAATATTCCTCAATGTTGGGGCAGCTAGGTGGTGTAGTGGATGGAGCACTGGCCCTGAAGTCAGTAGGACCTGAGTTCAAATTCGGCCTCAGACCAAACACTTAACACTTACTGGGCAAGTCACTTAACCCCAATTGCCTAAAAAAAGAAAAAAAACCTAGAAATATTCCTCAATGTTTTCCAAATTTAATTAAACTTTTCCTACCCAAATTCAACCTCTGACCTTCCTCATAAATCCAAATGCCTACGAATCTCCTCAGTCAGCCAACCAATATTTATTAAGCTTTTACTTTGGGCCAGGTACTCTGCTAAGATTTATAAATATAATTACATAATACTATTTAAAGAAATAATAACTGAATTAAACAATTGGAAGTATAGTCATTACTCATGTTTGGGCTGCCTCAATATAATAAAAATTAGCATCCTAACTAAATTTACAGATTTAGAGCTATGACAAGGGGATAATTTATTAAGCTTGACACAATAATAAGGAGATTCATTTGGAAGAACATAAGGTCCAGAACCTCAAAGGAAATAGCAAAGAAACAAACAAAAGTGGCATGAAAGGGAATAGCACTTACAAGCATCAGATTATAAAGCAGTTATCAAAACTTTTTGGCTCTGGTTAAAAATAGGAAACTGGACCAGGAATAAACCACACAAGCAAGAATCTGAAACAGTTGAACCCAAAAAACTCAGTGTTTAATAAACACAGGATATGAACTATTTGGGCAAGGACTAGCTATTGATGATAAGTTCTTGATGAACTGGAAAGTAGTTTGAAAAAAAAATGGTTTAGACCAATATCTCATGTTTTATGCAACAATAAGTTCCTAATGGATACTTGATTTACATATAAAAGTTTTTATCATAAAAACAATTAAAAGATAAATTATATATGTGTGTGTATACATGCATACATACATATATATATGTGTGTGCATATATATATATATATATATATATGGAGAGAGAGTATTATATATATTCATAGTTATGGTTGGGGGGGGAGATAGTTAACCAAACAAAGAATAGAAATCACAAGAAATTGAAATTACTCAGTAACTTACCTTCTATCCAAGAAGGAGAGATAGATAGATAGATAGATAGATAGATAGATAGATAGATAGATAGATAGATATAGATATATAGACTATATACATATATGTTTATGCTAAATATATACAAAGTATATAACGTGGGGACCAGGGAAACTAGTAACTCAGTGAATCAGGAAAGACTTCACATGTAAGGTAGCCCTTCAGATGAATTTTGAAGC